GTAAATATATATTTTGATTTCTAACTTTTTATTAAATAGGAAATATTTTGAAACCTTTTACTTACGAAATATTTCATAGAAAATATTTTAATTGTATGATATCCTAAAGCATAGTATAAAACCGTGAACAGAAAAAAATATTTCTCTTAAATTACTGCACTTTATGATTTGGAATGAAAATAAATAAAAACTAAGAAGGTTTTTATTTTCCAATATCTTAAGAGTATGCTTATATTCAAAATGACTAGGTTTCGAAACTACCAGTAGAACTTAAATTGTATTCAACCTTTGGTGCATGAGGTGATAAAGAACTTATAGCTGAATTTTCTTTTAATAATATAAATAAGCCTTGAGCTTCCATCTAGGTTTACTTAACCTTGTTTTCAAAAAGTTTTTCATATCCAGTTGGTATTGTACTGTAGTTTAAACTTCGCAAATACAGATAATATATTATCTAGGTTTTAGTAAACTTATAAAATAGTACATTCTTCATTTTTAATTTACCTTTATGGCCAGAATTTACAGCAGTATCAATGATATTGCTGTATCGAGTAACTATTGGGTAATTTAGGAGTTGGCTTTCTCCAACTTCGTTAAGTTTAATCATTGAAAAATATGTGGACAATTTTTTTAATAAGCATGGTTAACTTATTATTTAATAAGGGATTAGGATCTCTATTGGGATAGCTCTGTTGTATATTTTCAACCAAATTCCCCTTTAATACTCGAATGGTTGGCTATCATTCCTTGAAGAAAAGTATTTCGTGATACAAGCACTTTTAGTTAAAGAAAGAGGCCTATCCGAGGCAATGTACTCAAAAACATACAATTAAAAATTTGCTCTTAAGTAGAAGCATCCAACTTTATGCTTTAACTTAAAGCATGCTCCTCCTATTCCGAGGCTATGTTAAAAATTAAGTAAATGTGTCATTCCGCATGTAAATGTAATAACGTGATTCAATTTTGCAATCTTTAAATAAGTTGCAAAAATGCGTATAGAACAAACGATAAAGATATATTTTTATTTCTTAATTAAGGATAATGTATTTATATTATCCTGGATAACAGAATAAGCTTCTTTAATCAAGCTATGTCTTATGATCCTTATCCTTATTAGTATTGGATCGAAACTGTAACTAGTCCCATATGCTCTGTCATAGTATTCGTTATTTCCAGAATTGGGCCATTGGCTGATACATCCCAAAGCGTTTCGCCAGCATCGTCTGTGAGAGGCAGCATCGTTTACAAAGGGTTAAAACTTGCCGAAGTAACAAGTGAGCGGTTGAACAGAAAATTGGTCAAGGGGATTGCCCTCACCTATCACTTTGATAAATTGTAACTCTGTGTTTAAGATGGCGCCTCTCACTGACGATGCCGACTACGATGTCGGCGAAACGTTTGGGAATATTCCAAATCAATGGTACAATGCTGAAAATCACGAATACTATTACAGAGGACACGGGATCAGGTACGTTCTATAAGGTCTGGCTGACGCTCAGACCAAGTTGCAAAAACAGGGTTGAACAAACACTAAGCCGTTGTGGGCCTGACGTTCACGTGACTAGAGGCTTTATAGCCAAATTTACTAGAAATCCACTCGAAAGGTAGCAGGAGACCAGAGATAGAAGAGCACAGTTTGTTTAGGATATACAGGTTTAACCAATGAAATGACGCGCAAAGGCAAGCCTAATATCCGCAGACATTGGAATAAAAAGTTCATAAGTTAAATAGCTTGATCGAATAAGCCTATTTTGCCATAAAGGAGACTGCGATCATAAAGAAGGCCACACCATCTTATTTTGCATATCTGCGTTCATTACCCATACTTATTTATTTTAATCTAAGAATTTTCACAATACATAAGTAAGGTTTATTACTGAAAAAGTAATATTTATTCGATACATTATATTCGGGCCATAGTCAAAAGTGTTAAACTATAGGAAACCAAAATATAAATCAAGACACTTTCCGTTCGTGAGACTCAATGGCTTCATTTTATCCCTCCTTAATTATCGATAAAATAGAAAAATATATTTATTTTAATAATTCATATTGCTGTATTTTAATTTCGATATTCGGTTTAGTATTAACATTTGTGGGCCTCTGATAAAATAAATAAAATAAGCAGTAATCATATTTGTCATAACTAGTTCATTAGGTAAGCAGAACCGGGTGACGTTAACCACTAACTTTCTGATCATCTCTTACTCTCCAGTAAGTATAATATGACACTGCTAAATCTCATTTGATTCGACTCTCGATGCCTCTCTATTTTTAGCTGTGCTCAAAACAGCGAGTAGCTTACTTGAGTCCAACGTTTAGTTACCAGTTTTACGTTGTAGAATACCCTATTTCATAGACACTACAGGCCATGTCTACTGACCTTTTCGTCCTTTATCCAGAAGTATGAGATTTCTCGACAGGCATTATCCCCCGGCAATTAGTAATACATTATTTTCTTCTATTATAAACTAGCCAAACTGCTTAAACAACAACAAAAATATTTAAATGGCTTTTATCATATAAATATCCATAGAATATAGTATTGATCATATTATTTTAATTTATAACTGAGATAAAAATTAGTATTTTATTTATTTTTAGTTTACATTTTTGCCTTAGTATCATGGTGAATTATGAATTAACATTAAACGCATTTGATGAGTTATCTTTTTATTGAATATATAGTCTGTATTATTGATATTTGGCTCATCTAAAAAAATTATATTCAACTCATGCTTCATAATTATTAGTATACATATAATCCTAAACAAAACTGGCTCTTTTTAAGAATGTATTACATTGCATTCTATTTTTTAGTTATCTACGTAATCTCAAGTAACTTTAAAAGTTGATATTCAAACATTGCAATGATGGTAGCAGAACAGGTGATATTTCGAGGAAAAAAGCAAGAGCTTCATAAACCTCCGGATAATACAGCAGAAACTGGAACGGACACACTGACCATTTTTTTAATCATATGCCTAAGTTTAGTTCTAATTGCCATAATTCTGATTGCCTTGGCGACTACTATTACACGAGGTTCATGGTGGCGACGCCGACTTCGTTCACGTAATCGTCATGGCCTCGAGGATTTAATAGAGGAAGGTCGATCACCAAGCATAATTTTTCGCCTCCTGCACAAGTTACAAATGAAGCTTGCAGCTGATATCTCCTCCGGTAATTCGAACAGCCCTTGCTCAGGGATAAGATATGCGGTAGCAACTGCCTCAACAGTCGGTACCATCAGCAACACTAATGTATGCCTTAATAAAAGTCCTACCATTCCATCTAATTTTTACACGGGGGGTGTCTCCTCAGAAGCAGGTTTTGGACCCTCATTGCCATTGCGATTCCAGCCGGAAAAGCTGTACGGTAGCACTACTACTCACCATCGCGAGCGACTCATCAAAAAGACTGGCCTTTCCCCAACTTCGCTTGGACTTTCTGAGACTTGTTGGCATGGCCGACGCAAATCTATGCTTGAGGGTCTTGCAGCACTTACTGGTGGAGGAAGCAAAAGTGACCTTCAACGGATCGGACCGCGTCATAGTAAAGATGCTGGCAGGTCAGGAGGCCAATTTTTGACATTACCTGGTACAGATGATGATCTAGCCTCGAGCAGACAGAGATCTGGATCGGCGATTTCACTCAGGTGCATCGTCGCCTCAACACGAGATATCAATTCTGGAAAGGACAGCTCTAGTATGCTGGAATCTCTCGAAAGGCATGAGCCACTCTGTTTAAGCCTTACAAATTTATGCACAGCTCCTGTGACTGTAAGGCCATACCAGCCGCAGCCTTCTTCTGCCAAACTTTTCCAAATGAGTGAAAAACAAAGAGAACAAGATCATGCAGACGGTGACTTGGTTGATAAGATAAAGAGTCAAGGGAAAGCAACGGCAAAGATTGCTCGTGCCCATTCAAATGAAAGGGAAGAGCAGACCAATGTTACTGAGGAAGAAGAGTATACTCTGCCTGCTATTACGTTAAAAGTCCCGTTGGTGACAAACCGTCGGGGTTCTGGCTCTTTGCTAAGTCTGAAAAAGATCAAATTACCAAAGGAGAATAATAGTAAAAGTATGGATGTTAAGCCCCAGATGGAACAGGGAGAAAAAAAAAAGTTAAAAAAGGGAGAGCGACCAAGTTTTACTAACAAGAACCAAGAGCAAGTTACTAAGGCCACTACCGAGGAGGCATCAATTTCAATGGGTGTTTCGAAAACACGTGGCCGAATACGTCGTGCCACATTGTGTACCACAGGGTTTGGTGACTTGCATTCAAGCAACCAGAACAGATCTAGTAAAACGGGAAACTTGACACATGAGCTTGGCGCTAATCTGACGGAACTTGCAATGATGATGGAGGCCCAACTTTTCACGAGCCAAGGACTGCGTAACTCAAAGATTGCAAGAGCAGGTTCCTCCGGAGGTTTGGCAGGGCTAGACAAAGGAGACAAGAGTATAGATAGTTTTGGTAATACGACCGCGATCTATGGAGGGGCTGGGAATGTTGCTGATAGTGAAATTTCTCTGAGACTCGTCACTCGAAGACCATCATGGATGACGCCCAAGTTGGCTGACTTACCACCGGTACCTCCAGTCGATCTAGAAAACCGTCCGGCTGGTGTTTTAGCTTTTTCTATTTACCCAGACCCAGATGCCCTACATGGAGAAAATTATATGCTGGTTCGCCTTTTTGGAGCAGCGCATCTTACTACTGCGAGACAACCCTGGCAAGTATGTAGTTGTTTTGTTCAGGCAGCCTTCCACAGCACACCTCAACTGGTCAAGTTTCCAATCAATGAGAAAGTTAACAAACAAATTTTGACCTCACCAACAAGAGACAGACTACAGGTGCCATATTTATCGGAAACAGAACGTTCAATGACGGATTTAGGGGAGGCTAATTCAACCTTACTCTCTACAGTTTCACAGGAGCAGAGTTCTGGCCATGCTCGTCTGGCACTCGGATGTGTTAATTTCTGCACCATAGAAAATAGAGAATTAGAGTTTCGATTGCCAAACAAATCAAGCCTCAATGATGATATACATGTCACCACAGATTTGAGTAAAAACAATGAAGAAGAGCAGCTAGGTCGCATTGTTATCACCCTGAACGAGACAGAAAAATCACGCTGGGGTACTGATCAAGAGCATCCTTTGGGCCGAGTGATCGTTCCTGTGTATAGACGAGAGTTAACGGCCATACGTATGCCCAAGATTATATGGCATAGAGTAGAGCCATTAGAAAAGGTGAGACAAAGTCATTATTATTCCTCATTATGCATATTGATTAATTAATTATCAATGGTTTCAGTTTAGTCAAGGATTTGAAAATCCAAAAATATATTGGAGATTTGAAATAAGAGCTTTTCTAATAAATGTTTATATGCAAGATCAAAAGCACACTTTTCTCTCTAGAAGCAACTTAGCAAATATGATTAATCTGAACATCAATATGGCTCGAATTATTATTGGCCTATCACGATATTCCTTAAGCCATTCAAAAATATAAACTATGGCCAAACGTCTTCTGAGGACAGTAGACAAGTGCAAAATCTTGATTAGATTACCTGGTAGAAGGTTTGACTACAAAAAGGCCACTGTTTGAAAGTAATTAGAGTATATGAATATGCGTATTCATAGTGATATAATAAATATAGTAAAAATTCGCTCTGATGTTGGCGTATCTGATATTTCGTTTGAAGAGGCGAGTGGAAGAGATTCGTAAATTAGCATCGCTGGAAGCCGAAAGAGGCTTGGAGCCGCTACTCTGTGCGGATAAGTCTTTAGCGCACATTCCCGAAACCGCAATAAATACTTGCTAAGCTCTTTTTCTTTTTAAGAAAAACATAGTCAGAACGGGACACCATGCATTAAGTCAAATGACAAAGCATGAAGTCAAGAAGAGGGGCAGGCTGTAATCCTACCTCCTTCTTATAGCCTAACTTTGTCGACTAAGAGGAAATATCAGAAGTTATTCTATTCTATTCTATACTATTCTATTTTATTCTATCCTATTTTATATTATTCTATTCTACTCTATTCGCTTCTATTCTTTTCTCTTGTATTCTATTTAAAGAGCTACTTTTTGTCCCTTCTTTATCCAACAGCCACAACTAGTTTTCGCTTAACTTCTTTCACTATTTCCTTATATTCAATGTTTTTGCCGTTTTGTTGGTTCCTATAGACTCTTTAATATTTAGATAACGTGTATAATTTCTATAACCTGATATGATTATTCTATCTAGTATCCTGTATGAGCAATGCGGTATACACATTTTTACCCACAATCCCGTGTAAGACATTTTATATTCTGATAGCCTCTAATGTTTTGATTAGCGGCTCTCCGTTTAAAAAATGTTATCAAATTAAAATAAGACCTATAACAGTACGATCTTGAGAGAGGGGTCAAAAATTCCTGAAAAATGGACAGTACTTAATAACGGATATTTGATTTGCGTTCCACCTATTCAATCATTCGCATATTCTTTTCGAGAATTGATAGAATATTAGGATTAGGACACTAATATTGGTCAAACCGTTCATTTTACGCTGAAGGGTTGCTTTATCTACGCCTATATTATAATTCATTTAAGTTTATTTATGAGTAATCATGATGGATATTAATTTCAACTAAAATACCTCTTAGACTCTGCAAATAGGATAAATCTACTTCTTTTTCCGAGTAACTTTGCATGATTACCTGGCTAAGAAAACGAAGTTTTATAATTCTGACTATTTTTCAAAATTTGCTATGACAATCCTTTCAGGGAGTTAAAAGTAGCAGCTATAGATGTGTATGATATTCTATGGACAACATCAGAATTTGTTTTAGAACAAATATCCAGACTCACAGTTACGTTTGACATATAAAAACGTTGAACCTATGCCTACATTGCAATTAACTGTAATTCAAGGGGTATTTTATTGGGTTTAAAGTATGCAGCATTAAGATTATAGAGTATGAATTAAAATTCCAGCTTATTCAGGGACTGAATCAGGCGTTTTTCAAACATCAGTAAAATTTTGTAAGTCTGCTGTGGCAATATATGGAACGAACAAATATGACATAATAGAAGAAATCTTAGTTCAATATTTATAGGCTAAATATCGGTTCAAAATCATAATACGGACATTGAGTTACCATTATGGTTTCGACATCACAATTATGCCCTTATGAAAGTTAATATTTTCAAGTCAGAAAAATCCTATGATTTTGTAATTCGTATAACCGTTTGATTTATTTAGATAGTATGATTGAAATGGGTTATATGCTTAGAGCCAAATAACAATTGAATCACATTAACATGATTGATTTCAGCTCCTGAAGTAGTAAAGGCATCTTATGCAAACCAGAGACCTTCCTATATGAAAATTATAATAGATAAATATACGAAGTGTAACTGGCTTTCTATTAATCTCTCATACAGTTTTGGTCTCGCATTTGGCATTATTAATCTTTCTGAATTAGAACTGGTATTAGGTATAGACGATGGGACATAAACACAGGCACACTCAAGTAAAAGTACCATTACCATAATTCTATATCTATTTAAATATACACATTTATGTTTGGCTGGACAGCCTTGACTAACTAGTGTATCAACTAGAGCATTTTAAAAGAATGACTTCCAGCTCGGATTATATTATAATAGACAAAAACTCAGCTCAATTTTCCTGAAAGCAGAGAGAATGTCCCGTGGACTGCATCAATCTGAACGTCGTATTGAAGCTAAACATCTGTATTTCGATGCAAATCGGGCGTTGTATTCTGGTGAATCACTTCATCATGCATTTTCACACAAAATAAAAATTTCCCAATTAATAGATGAATAGCATGATTTACTTTGAGCTACATTAGGCCGAGACCGTGAACAAGTGATGTTGCAAAGAACTTTACTATTTAATAAACGTAAGTCCCACCAGGCTGCAAAATTTGCATTGTTTTATGATTGACAGCAAGTAATAGGTAATGTAGGTCGCTGTACTTTTGAAACACTTATTATAGTTGCCTTTTGCTTCAAATAACAGATTACCAAATTAACATAATTTAAAAGATTTTAACCAACTAACTTCCCCAAGTTATTTAAAGCACAGTTAGGAAATTAATTGAGAGCTATTAGCCTAAAATTGCTTGGATAATTATCGCTTTTACACCTGTTATATCACTCTAAGTATGGTTTATTATATCAAACTTTAGCTTTGTGCATATTTTAGGCATAACCATAAAACGTTTGAATAAAAATAATTAAAATGCTTTGCTTGAAATGTTAGGGGGACCTTCATTTTGAATGAAAGTACATGAAGAAGAGATTCGTTTGTCGATCTCACCAGA